AAAAGGCAAGAATCGGGGCCAATCAGGAGGATGCTGACTCTCACCTAGACATAAGGAGCTTGTTATAGTGGCCTGACTGGACGTTGATGACGGAGTTGGAGAAGATATGGTATTCCGAGTGGCTGGTATCTCCAAGGTTTATTACGTTGAGTGTTATGGGCTCCAGAATACTGCCAACACAATACCCTGTTAGAATATCTATACATAAATGGTATACTGGTAAAAAATAAATTGGGACTAAACACAAGGTAATAAGACCAAATCCAAATAAATAAATAGTGTGTGACGTTTCGGTAACAGCGTTGTTACCATCTTCAGACAAAAGTATTGAATGATCAAAGTACTGAATAATCCAAATTGTGCCTTATCATAAATTGGGACTATTTTTTTTTTTTTTTTTTTTTAGCTCTAGAGGTAACATAAAATTAATCTTTATTATATTTTTTTAATAAATGTGAATATAAGAAAAAAAAAGTTATCTTCTGATGTTCTTTTTGTGTCATCTATCTATATGGATAAAAATTCAGGTTTCTATCTCAAATTTCTCTGGAATCACATGCAAAAAAAAAAACTGGAAAAAATCAAGATAAAAACTAATTTATGTGTTATAATATTTAGGTAATGGCCTTCAAATATCATCATGATCTATGAATATTTACAAAAATCCAGGTTTTGTTTTAAAATAAGCCCTGTGTGATCCACATTAAGTAATTATACATATTTTATCAAGTGGGTGTTTTGTGGTTACATTATTTAAAATAAAACCCAATTAAAAAATGTCTCAAATAATTGAATTATCATTGCAGTGAGCAAAGAGTTGAAAATTATAAAATAGACAAATTTATATTAAAAATGCTTTCAAATTGTTTTTAAAAAATGAAGGTGTAGGATGGCTGATGTCATAATATAAATTGATGGGATAAAAGAACTATAAGAAACATTTTATCTTGATAATCATTTTTTATTATAGTGAGAAACATATATTCTCATACTAATTTTATCTTATTAGAGGCTTAGAATTGACTGTCATTATAGATGTTGAATGAGCAAATATATAAAATAAGCTTAACTGGTCACTAATTTCATACAAAAGTAGAAAAGTAAAGCTTAAGAAAAATTTAAAACTTTTGCAATTTTATTTACTTATTCTAATGTTATTCACCTGTTAAATAGAAGCTTGAACACCACCAATGGATATCTGACTTTAAAAACTACTTCAAAGCACAAGTGTCAACTATATTATGAAATAAGGGTAACTGTGTCTCATATGTTTAAAAGAATTATTTGTTAAAATACTATAGAGAATTTAACATCATTTGTAAATATATATGAAATTTTTATTTAAAAATATATGTATCACATTTGGTGAAACGTTTACATAGATGACAATATGCATTTTGCAATTTAGGTAATACAATATAAAGTGATGTTCAGGAACCTGGGTTATAAATATATCTCTAAAAATCTGTAATAAAATCTTATTGCAGTCAAATTGCAAGCCGTATAATAATTTTTCAAGTAAACGTAATTAGCTCTATTTTATTTGAGGTGGTAGCAATAATATTTGTACAGTAAATATCTTTATAAAAAAATCTATAAAAATAACAATACTTCATTTTATTAATATCTATCGCTAGTTTTTTTTAAATTTATTTATTTAAAATTAGAGGATTATTTTTGTGTGAAAACAAAATTTTTGAAAATATCATTTTTGACCACTATTATTTACATTGTTAAAATCACGATCAATTTTGTCATCGTAGATCGAGTTTTTGTTTTCTTATGACTATGTAATAGTTCTAAGTAATATTTAGTGGGGTTTTTTTTAACCAAAATATGGTTAAACGAAATAAATATCGTTCCATTACTTTATCAGAAAAACGCGAAATTATATGTGCCTTGGAAGAAGGTAAATCTCAAGTAGAAATAGCTAAACTACTCAATCTACCAAAAACGACAGTCCAATCAATTTGGTCCAGAAGAGATCACATTAAAGGTTTGTCAAACGATTTAAATAGGGATCTCAAGAAAATACGCGTTTGTCAGCATCCTGAGATTGAAGAAGCCGTTTACGTTTGGTATAACCAAGCGCGGCTTCAAAATATACCCGTAACTTGCCAACTTTTACGCGATTACGCCACAAATATCGCGTCAAAATTGGGGATTACAGATTTCCACGCTAGCAACGGCTGGTTGTGCCGTTTCAAAAAGAGAAAAAGCATTATTTTTAATAGAAAAGATATGTCAGACGATGATTTTAGCTTGCTTGAAAACGGTCACCTGGCTTTAACTGGGCCTTCTAATTCTGCACTTTCTGATGACTTTATTTTATATGATGAAATAGATTCTAAATCAATGGTGGATGAAGTGTGTGATATAAATTCAAGTAACAATGAAGAAATGGATGAAAAATCTTCAAATTCTTTTCCTCTTTTGGTGGAAATCCATGAATGCCATATTAGAAAACAACAACAAGAAGAAACAAATCTTTTGCTACAAATAAAAGAAAGTCCTTCTTCTCCAGCTTCAGAAGCTCTTAAAAACCTGATGACTTTGACAAGGTTTGTAAAGAAAACTCCAAACATTCCTGACAAAGATAAACTTCTAAATGATTTTGATAATTTAGAGAAATATCTGAAAAAACTCTCAAGCCAACGTAAAATCACTGACTATTTTAAATAATTTAGATATTTATAAAGTTGTACAATTTAGATAATTTCAGAGTTGTAAATATAAAAATATATACGTATTTACACTGTTATATAAGTATATAAAATAGAAATGTATATATGAAATTTTAATTATTGATTTTTTTTCTAGTAAAAAAATGTTTATTAAAAAAAGTTTATTTTTTTAATAAATGTATTATTTATATATATTATTATAAAATATAAAATATTGTTTTATATATACACACATATATAAATTCCTCATATCAACCAAAAAACACCTGCACATCTAGAAATCAATGTGATTTTTTAATGATAAAGGCACAATTTGGAATATTAATAGATTATAAACACAAGGTAATAAGACTAAATCCAAATAAATAATTAGTGTATGACGTTTCGGTAACAACAGTTCAGTGCGTTGATGGAAGACTAATAAAATGGCCCTCTATTCTAATCAATGTCACCACTTTACCAGAAGTGTCCTTTACTGAGAACCAGGTAAAACTGGTGGAAAATGGGCCCTTGACTGTTAAAAACTGTGATGAATTCAGTACCTTTGTCTGAAGATGGTAACAATGCTGTTACCGAAACGTCACACACTATTTATTTATTTGGATTTATTCTTATTACCTTGTAATTTTTAATGTTTATTTAGCTCTCTGGTACAGATAGATAAAAAGAGGAAAGTCACCTTTAAATGTTAATTGGGAGATAGGAAGAAGTATTGCCGTAGTGTCATTCTAATGCCAATCAGGAATAAGCATCGGGGGATAATGGCAATATTTAGGAGGAGGGGGGAGCAGTAACAAGCTCACTAAAAAAACCTGGGCTCAGCTGGCCCGGCTGATAGTACCCTGTAAGGGCTCCTAATCTAGGAATACAAGATGAGCAGTGTTTGTACTCCTTGTTAGGAGAGGCTGCACATGTCGTCTGTTCCTCATGTCAGAGGAGGCCATTTCTTTTGGAGCTAAGTCGGCCTGCCACTGAATAGTGCTCCCAGTCCTAATGATAAAGGCAGATGCATCCTACTTCACCCAGTCATGATGGTTGTCAAAACTCTACAAGCTTTGATACCCTGATATGATTGAGTGGAGATGAGAAAGAAGAAGTCTGACCTGTCCATTTCTTTTTGTTTTTTGAAATTATTTATCTAAAAGTACATATCATTTATGGGCCATTATGTTTGTGGCTGATTATTTCAGTATGGAACACACACACATTGCAATTAAGAATAAAACAAGTCCAACCCCACCAGCGAGTGCAAGTAACCAAACAAGGCTCTGGCACATTTGTAAGTGCAAAGTCGAACTGCTTTTCACATATGTAGACATGTGGTGTATTTACAGTAAAAGCAGTCGCCAAATTCTACCCACTATGATTATCATGGCTTGTACCACGTGTACTAGGGATAAGCAAAAAAAAAAAATTTGACATGCGAGATTATTTTAGGTTAGTTATAAGGGAAGGTGAGCTCTATCCCCAGGTTTGTTTTAACAAGGCTTTACTGTAGTTTTTGGTTTTTATGAAAATTTTTAAGCAGGGAGCCCCTGATGCATTCTAAACACACATTTTTACAATCTACCACTTTACTAGATGAAAGAGACCTTCACTGTGCTTTCAAAGATCAATGCCAATACATTCGAACAGCTTTTCACATGTGTAGACATGTGGTGCACTTACAGTAAAAGCAGTCGCCTACTTCTACCTACCATGATTAACATGGGCTGTACCACGTGTACTAGGGTTAAGCCAAAAAAAAAAAAGAATAAAACAAATAAATTCATGGCTTAAATAAGTTCACAATTCTAAAAAAATAATATCCTGTATCAATATTTAGGTGAAAATATCAGGGATAAACTTTTTTTTCCCTTGATAAGGCACAATTTGGATTATAGATTATAAAACAAGGTAATAAGACCAAATAAATAAATAGTGTGTGACGTTTCGGTAAGAGCGTTGTTAATACAAATAATAACGCTGTTACCGAAACATCACACACTATTTATTTATTTGGATTTGGTCTTATTACCTTGTTTTTTTCCCCCTTATCCCTGGATATCACCTTAAAACAAATAAAGCTCAAAAAAAAAGATTATATCTTACTTTCAAGAAAGATCAAACATAGCTGTAATGTTCAAAAAAGAACATTAAGCCTCCATGGAAAAGAGTTTTACCACTGCCCCAATGGCTACAAATTGGGAGACAAAAAGATTTGGAATTTTATTCAATAGCATTTGTTGTGTCTATTTGTAACTAAAACCAATAAATGGAAAGTTACAATTTGAATTATAGTTTAGAAACACCAGTAGGTAATAAGACCAAATACATAAAGAGTAGCACAGTGGAAGTGTACTGGGCCCATAACCCAGAAGGTCCATGGATCGATACCACGCTCTGCTATTTGGTCTTATTACCTTGTGTTTCTTAAACCCTGTAAATATAACTACTTTACACACACATACAAATGCTCTCTTTATACACACAACACTAGTTCCTATTTCTGCTAGTACTGTAATACAATTCTGTAACCCCAAACCACATTATTGACTCATCCATTGATGAGCTCTACTCATTCCCAGCAGACACCATTAACATGCAACTCCGCCTTTGCCGGTCCCAAGCCCGGATGAAAAAGGAGGAGGGGGAGCAGTAACAAGCTCACTAAAAAACCTGGGCTCAGCTGGCCCTGCTGATAGTACCCTGTAAGGGCTCCTAATCCAGGGATACAGGATGAGTCTGTACTCCATGTTAGGAGCGGCTGCACATGGCGTCTGTTCCTCATGTCAGAGGTGGCTATTTCCTATTGGAGCCAAGTCGGCCTGCGACTGAGTAGTGCTCCCAGTCTTAATGACAAAGGCAGAAGCAATCTACTTCACCCAGTGTAGAGATAAGAAAGAAGAAGAACCATTAACATGCTCAACATTACTTTATAAAAAGAAACCTGTATGTTAAAAATAGTTTCTTATAACAGATGGTGCAGTAATGCATCGTGTAAATTAGAGCCAGTATGTGAAGAACCTACCTGAGACTCTGGCGGATGAAGACGTAGTCGAAGGAGTAAGTAGAGTCAGTGGCTGACAGGGACTCTGTGAAGAGGGCAAAGACAAAGAACTTGGCGGCTATGGGGTTAATGAAGTCAATGAGGTTATTGTGGAGGGCAGTCTCCCTCATGGAGATCCTCATGGACGAATGTCTGCGGAACTTGTACCAGCCCATCACCTCCTGCACAAACACATTCCTTTTCACACATTGGCAATGAATCCGGTGATGTGTTTGACATTTTGGTAACAGCGTTGTTACCATCATCAGACAAAAGACAAGAATTGTGGGCTGAATCAAGAAAGAGCCATGTCAATCCCTCTGGTATCCGGGCCAGGTGAATTTTCCAGTGTTGAGTCAAATTAAACCGCAGGTTCGACTCCTGGTGGTACCTTTCCCATCAATTCCTTTGTTCAAGTTCCAGTTTTGAAACCAAATGCATTTTGGCTGATGATAGTAATAATGCTGTTACCGAAACCACGCATAATTTATTGGATTTTGTCTTGTTATCTTCAAGTATAGACAGACTCATGTTTGTTATTCACTAAAAAGAAACAGTGCAAGTCCCACCAACCCTGTATATAAAATCACTGTACCCATATTTCACCTAATTTAATCATAGTGGTAATATAGGTCTTAAAGTAGTGTGTGTCAGAAACTACACTCATGGAGACAAAACTTAAGGAAGCTGTACCTTTTACCATGTATATTGGGATTCAGACAATAACTCTGAAAGATACACTCATGGACAAAACTTAAGGAAGTTGTACCTTTCAGCATGTATATCGGGATTCAGACAATAACTCTGAAAGATACACTCATGGACAAAACTTAAGGAAGTTGTACCTTTCAGCATGTATATCGGGATTCAGACAATAACTCTGAAAGATACACTCATGGACAAAACTTAAGGAAGTTGCACCTTTCAGCATGTATATCGGGATTCAGACAATAACTCTGAAAGATACACTCATGGACAAAACTTAAGGAAGTTGCACCTTTCAACATGTATATCGGGATTCAGACAATAACTCTGAAAGATATTACAGTGATCTTTATTGAAGACACACGAGATAACTAAGTGTGACTAAAATTGCCTCTGTCTCTTTCAAAAAAAAAAAAAAACACAGACAACCAGCAACGTCAAAGACATTCCATTCCACTTAAGTTTTGTCCATGAGTGTACTCTCTGTTACACACAAACTACTGTAATCTATACCCCACTATGATTAAATTGGGTGAAATATGAATGTAATGGTTTTATATACAGGGACTTGCACTGTTGGATTTTGTCTCTTATTACCTTTTAATCTAAATATTATACCTTATCATCTATGAAATCGGGGGGTCGGTGGAAGGCTGGTTAAACCGTTTGGTTTACGACCACTACGACCCGGGTTCGATTCCCGCATTGGACACTTTTTTCTGTTTAAAAAAAAAAAAAAATGCTCCAATGGCCCCCGATTCTTGCAAAAGTCCAACCCCCACCAGCGAGTGCTGCAAGTAACCAAACGGGGCTCTGGCATTTGTAAGTGCAAAGTCAAACTGCTTTTCACATATGTAGACATGTGGGTGCGCTTATAGTAAAAGCAGTCGCTAACTACCCACCATGATTATCATGGCCTGTACCACGTGTACTAGGGATAAGCAAAAAAAAAAGAAAAAAAATCTATGAAATCTGTTTGGGGGAGAAGTACAATTTAAATTATATATAGATTAGTGTCAAAAGGTAACAAAATCATATCTAAACCAATAAATTCTACACCTTAATGGATGGGATGCCTAACAAACGTGGGCCTTTGCATACATGAAGTAACAAGACCAAATCCAAATGTGTCGGTAACAGTTGTTGTTACATACAAATTTATAAATTTGGATGAGTGTATGAAGTACAGATCAATGAAGCTAAGCACCTTCTTCTGATGGCCGTCCAAGATGGCATTGATGTCATCATCCTGGATCTCCCCTACGTTGTTGTAGTAGGAGAAGAGCCTACGGCAGGGCACATAGGTGTAGATATCTGGAACACCCACCATGTCACCTTGTATCACTGGCTTATATAAACATTCTGTGGTTGGCTATCTCAGCTTGTCAGGTGTCAACCATGGTCTTCTATGTTGTCTGGTGGCCTGGAGCAATGGCTCTTAACCTTTTCAGCCTTTTGACCAATAATATATATATATTTTTAATTTTAATGATTTTTTTCCCCTAACAAAAACACTTTACTATAAACACAAGGTAATAAGACCAAATCCAAATAAATAAATAGTGTGTGACGTTTCGGTAACAGCGTTGTTACCATCTTCAGACAAAAGTACTGAATGAGAAATTTTACCACATTATAATCTATAATCCAAATTGTGCCTTATCAACTTTACTATAAAAAAAAATCAAAATAATACCATTTTCAAATATCCTTGTGAAAATTTACATTTTTATATTTTAAAAACATACAAAGTTAGGAGCGGGACATTTCACAAAGAGTGATATCCACGGTGCCAATTTATATTTGTAACAAATAGTATTTGAATAAAAACATTTAATCGGGTAAAACCTGGGCGTTGCCTGGGTCATTTGGCTAGTATATATATGTCATAATATATACTCTTCCAGGAATAATAAAGTAAACCTAGAGCCAGCCCAGAGAGAGACGGGAATGTATAGTCCGGTCACTTGAGACAGCAGCGACATTCCAAGGGGCGGCAACTGGGGCCCATCCGTCAACACCTTAGGACTTTTAAGACAGTTGGGGATTGTGTGCGACACGAACGACCGTCCAGCTTTCCCGGGCCCGTCTCTCTCTCTGGTTGTCTGGGATTCCTCTTCCAAACTTGTGGTGTCCTTATTTCTCTTTCCCCACCTAATATATTGACACATATACATATGTCACATTCTGCTTGTAAATTATTGGTGGATGCAAATTTTTACGCTGTCAGGAATTATGTAAATATTTGTAACTATAAATAAAAGGATTGAAATAAATTTAGTCAGACGGTTGATTGTTTTCTCTTTCTTTACGCAAAACAATATCATCTGCATATTGGCGTGTACAGATCATCATAGAAACGTTACATATATTGTTAAAAGTCATACATATAGTATGTAAATATCTTTTTTAAATGTATGACTAGGAATGTAGAACGTACAAGGTGCGTTCATTAATTTCCAGGACTGCTCTGTATCTTTGAAAAAATAAAACAAATAAAAAAACTAATTCAATATTTTTCAAAATATGCCCCTCCTGCCTCAATACACCCGTTCCATCTTTTTTTCCAATTGTCGAAGCAGGAGATAAAATCACTTTTTGAGAGGTTCCTCAAGGTTGCCTTCGATTCAGCTTGTATCATATCAACGTTGTCAAATTTCGGTCCTTTCAAGTTAATTTTCAATTTAGGATAGAGGAAAAAGTCATTGGGGGCTAAGTCGGGGGAATAGGGTGGATGAGGGATCTGTATGGTTGAATGCTTGGCCAAAAACTGCAAAACAACATGGGCTGTGTGCGGCCGCGCATTACCGACGTGAAGTATCCAGTCATTGTTTTGCCATCTTTCAGGTCTTTTAAGGCGCACTGCCTCCCTTACGCACCTCATTATCCCCAAATAAACAGATAGTCCAGTCACTGAAGATAATTCTTCTGTTAGATTTAATTAACTCCTTTATTTTGAGCTTGTTTTCCTTGCAACGAAATGATCTTGGACGCCCAGTATGCTGATCATCGTTTACCTTTTCCCGACCTTTTTGGAAGCGTGAAAATCATTCAAAAGTTCTTGAACGGGATAAAGCTGCATCGCCAAAAGCTTCTTTAATCAATTCATACGTCTCAGTATCACTTTTTTTTCAATTTAAAACAAAACTTAATGCAGATTCTCTGCTCTTCGAAAATGGCCATTTTAAAATTAGAAATGCGAACCTTACAAGGAAGTTGTTTTGTTCTATTTTTAGATCGGCGCGTGCGCCACGAGACTCGTGCTTTCAGTCAGGTGTGGTCGAATGTCCAATATTCAACTCTGTAAAAAATATTTTCTCTAGCTTTTTTATTTATTTTATTTTTTAACCAGTCCTGGAAATTAATGAACGCACCTTGTATAAATTATTATGTAAATTTCCCTTTTGAATGTATATAACTTAGCCGTGTTGTTTAAATAGAGAGTTTTTTTTAGTAGAGCAGAAGAGCTTTACAGGTGTAGCCGCTGGTTTTGTCTTCCTTATTTTCTTTCTTGCTTGATCACCCGAGGCAGCCCAAACAATATCAAGACTTTGGGTAAAAGTTTTACTTGTTAAAGGAGGTTTCTTTAATTTGACCTCTCATACCTTAACATATATATATATCCACTCATGGACAAAAACTTACGGAAGTTGTA